TAGCTCGGGCGCCGCGGCGGATGCAGCAGGGCGCTGCGGCGGATTTCACAGAGGCTCAGTCTTCCCTCTCTGTGTGATCCGCCGCGGCGGATTCTTCCATAGGCCGCGGCGGATGCTTCTTTTCAGCTCCTTCTCCATTCTTTACTTTCCTCAGGCTTTGTTTCCTGCAAAATTGACTTATAAACCCAATAAAAGAATGTTAAATCAGCTTAATTCAGTAGGAATTTTGAGAGGTTATCATACATATAGGACTTGGAGAAATAGGAGGGAGGTGAGATAGATTTGACTGGTAAATTTAATAAGTTAACTATTATTCTATTATGATGAGTTAGTTAAAAGTGACTTATATTTTAAACTGAAAGGAATATTACTTCTGATCTTTAATATAAGAGCTAATTGACTAATTTGAGAAGACTAAGAAAGTTTGTTAAATTAATTATATGTAATAAATAGGTGTTATTTTTCCTAGAATACCCTTGCTAATCATGTGTATTAGCTAGAACTACTATTTGATGAAACCTTGAACATGTGCAATTACTACAAAGATTATTTTGAAAAAAATAGTTAAATACAAGACACAAAGTGAATTGAGATCTTATATTTAGGACCAAATTAAAAGTTAAACTAGCTCTTATATTAAGGACTTGAGGTAATATTTATTTACATTTTTAGTAACCTTAATATTACCTGCAGCGGTAGTATTTAATGAGTCAATTACTTATAATATTTAATTTTATGGAAGAATGAAATAAAAGATGGCAAAAAACGGAAGAGTGAAACTAAAAATATTAAACACTCTATGTAATTTAATTTAATTCTAAATATAAAACCACAATCCACTTGTTTTTAATATTGATTTTTTTTCAAGTACTCCCTATAATGATTCCATATATTAAGGAGTGCTCATAAAAAAATAGTTTCAATGTACATGATTAATAAGGACATTTTAGAAAGATAACTTGTTTATTATGTAAACTAAATTAACTTTTCTTTTTTGTATAAATTTTAACTCTTATATTGAAGATATAAGGTAGTATATTGCAATGGAAGGTAGTATATTGCAATGGAAGTTACCGATTTACCGCTTAAGTATTGTTTGAAAAGTCAAAGTCATGGCCATCCTCCGTATGCGTCCATACTCAATTGATAATAATTTTAAGGGTTAATACAAATTTTGATCCTTCAAGTTTGATCTCATTTTGATTTTGGTTCCCTCAAGTTTCAAACCATAAGTTTAAGTCCCTCAAGTTTCTTTTCATTTAAAACATTGGTACCTATAATCTAATAAAAATTTAGATCATTTTATCCCTTGAAGGACCAAAACCAAAATGAGGGCAAACTTGAGAGACCAAAGATTATATTAACCCTAATTTTAATCAGTTTTTGAGAGTTTGCATTTGCATACTTTTGTTATTTCAACTAATTAACTTGATTTATTTTTAAAATTTGAAAATAGAAAATAATATTGAATTCATCCTGATTAAGAACCATCCTTTAGTTTTTAATTATTGTTTACCCAATTTAGATGTTGTGACTAAATACGTATAAGAGGGAATCTTCCAAGGAAAAATTGGGGATAATCCCCATTTTAAAAGTTAATTATAGAATGAGACCTGAACTTTTGAGATCTTTTTGGAGAATTAAAAAAGAAAGATAAATTATCACAATACCCTTAATGAAATGTAATTATGATCAAGCATATGCAAGTCGGGATCAAGAATATGCAATTAGGGCCTAAATGCAATTAGGCATATATAATATGCAATTAGGATCATATACAACTGGAGATCAATGATATGTAATTATGATCAGTGATATGCAATTAAATTATATATGTAACTAGGCATCCTCGATATACAATTAGGATCAAGTTTATGCAGCTTAGAATCAAGGATATGCAATTAGGTCTTATATGCAACTAGACATATGTAATATGCAATTAGAATTAAGCATATACAACTAGAGATCAAGAATATACAATCAGGATCAGTGATATGCAATTAGGCATCTTCAATATGTAATTAGGATCAAGTATATGGAACTCAAGATTAAGGATATGTAATTAGGATAAGTGATATGTAATTAGGTTTTATATGCAACTAAGCATATGTAATATGTAATTAGGATCAAGCGCATATACAACTGGAGATCAAGGATATACAATTAGCATCAGTGATATGCAATTAGATCTTATATGCAATTAGGCATCCTCAATATGTAATTAGGACTAGGCACATGGAACTTGGGATTTAAGGATATGTTGTTAAGATCAGTGATATGTAATTAGGTTTTATATACAACTAGACATTATCAATATGCAATTAAAATTAAGCTTATGCAACCCAAGATCACGGATATGCAATTAAGATTAGTGATATACAATTAGGTCTTATATGCGATATGCAATGAGGATCAATCATATGTAATTAGGGATCAATAATATGCAATTAGGTCCTATATGTAATTAGACACATGCAATATGTAATTAGAATCAAACATATACAACTTGGGATTAATAATATGCAACTCAGGTTATTTAGACTTTTTACCTCTCAAACTTATTGCCATCTAAGGTTATGCCCCATTCAACAATTAACTTTTTAAATGGGGATTTATTCCCAATTTTCCCATCTTAGTAATGTATTTTATTAAAAAAAAATATTTAGATTAAGTTTTTATATCTATTATGCTAAATTCTCAAATCACATTGTCATATGATCATGTATAATTAGAAACTTGATATAATGAATATTCAAAATTTCATTTAAGTATTGCCCTTTATACATACATACATACATACATATATAAAATACAATCCTAACAGAAAAGTCAAGAAACGATTTTAATTCTAAACTTGACTTGTGAATTTAACTATATTGCAAATTTAATAAGACGCAAGCAAAAAGTTTTGAATTTAAAAAAAAATATTGCAAATATTAACTTTTTTCCCCTTCAAGTAGTCCTTATAGTAGGTGCACATGTTAAAGGTTTTACTAAGGTATTTGGATAGAACCAAACTATGATTTGGAAGAATAGATTTGGAAGAATGAATTTGGAGAATAAATTTTAAAAAAAGTGATTTTGATAAAGTGAGAATGTTTAGATGGTTGTTATTAGCATCTCTTTTTTTTTTCATGTGCAAATTAGAAAAAATAACATAAGTTAATATGATAATTAGATAAAAATATATTTTACTTTATATTTTTGTTTGAAATAATAAATTTGTAAATACTAAATGATATATGACAAAAATTAATTAATATTACCTCCGGTCCTTAATATGAGACCGAATTGGATATTCATATTGATTTTGAATATAAGACACCAATTTATCTTGTCTCACACATTTATCCATTTTTTTAAAAGTAATCCTCATGCTAATTTGCACATGTTAAATATTCTATCAAATAGTAGTCTCAATGCACATCATTAACAAATATTTGAGAGAATGCAACACCTATTTATTATAAATAAATAATTTAACTAATTTTCTTAATGTTGACAAATTAGTTGTTTAGCTCTTATATTAAGGATTGAAAGTAGTAATTGATACGTGTATATATTTTTATATCCCAAACTATGTATTTATACCTTCAAAAGCAAAAAAAAAAAAAAAATTTACTTCATGAAAAGCCATGATTTTATATCCAAAACCATGGTTTTCAAATCAAAAGTGATTTTACAAAAAATTAAGGTGTTTTGGTTACTCTTATTCAAACCATGGTTTCAAATTTAAAATTGATTTTGAGAAAAAATGTGGTGTTTAGATAATTTTCTCTAAAAATCATGGTTTGAAGAAATATCCAAACACCTCCAAAATGATAGTTTTAGCTAATACACATAATTAACGAGGGTATTTTAGGAAAGACAACACATATTTATTATATATAACTAAACTAATTTCTTTAATATATTCAAATTAGTTAACTACCTCTTATATTAAAAAGCTGAAATGGTAAGACGCAAGCAAAAAAATAATTTGAATTCAAAACAGACAGTCATAAGTATCAAATAAAAGTTTCACTAGGTCCCTAGGATCAATATTACAAAATGGCAGTGAAATTAATAAAAACATTTTGTATTGATCAATAGAATTATTTTTCATACACCAATTGAATTAAATTGAGCAAGTTATGAATAATAAAGTTGACTCTAACTTTGGAAAAATTCTTGGTCTATTACTAACTTGTTATAATAATACAAAGAGTTAATTAACCAGATAAAAATGTTGGTCTTTGTCCTATGTGGGTAGGTAAGCTCTGCTCTTCTCTTTATACGTTCTTCCCTTACAGATCTTGAACTTTGGCATTGGTTGCATCTTCCTCTTCTTCTTCTTCTTGGCGATCTCATTTTCAGTGTTTCTAATTCCTTTCAAACCCTTCATCATCAGCTCTCTGTATTCTTTCTTTCTTCGGCACTTTCCTCCAGTTGCAGTCGAAATCAATTCAAATCATACTTCTCATTTTCTAAACGTTTCCAGTTTTTATGTTTACTATATTTGCTTCCTTGTTCTCAATTTTCTGATCAAGTTTATTTTGGTGATTTCCATATATCAGCTACACCTCCAAAAACAAAAAATAAATGTTACTCTTCTTTTGCATTAAGTTTGTTGCGTTCTTGTCAATCATATGCTCATAAAAATATTTTAAAATCAGGGAAAAAAAAGAAAAAAAATTGTTCCAATTTCTTTTACTGCCTGTCTTGTTCAATATAAACTCACTCAGAAAAAAAAGGTTGGTTTTTTCATAAAAAAATCTATAGCTGTCACTCTCTTGTTTTGCATTGATTAGGTTGGTTGCTTCCTTGTCAATCTAGCAAAAAACAAAGTCTTTTCTTTTGAAGGGTTTTTTACTGCTTGCATAAGTCTTTAGATCTGAACTAAATTCAAAAAAGAAAAGGAAAAAAAAACTGGTTTGAAGATTTATTTTCTTGCCACTATTCTTCCGCGTATACTTCTGCCTTTGTTTTTATCAACGGTATGTAAAAATCTAAGAAGAAGAAGAAGTGTGCAATTTAGAACAAGTATTGGTGCTTTCTTCATCCGTCCTTCATCAGAGACGCAAGAATAAAGTGGTACTTGTAATAAAGTGGTACAGGTAAAATCTCTCTCTTAGCTTACAGATTTTGGAATTGGACTGGCATGAACAATAATTTGTTTCTTGTTTCTCATTTTTTTCTCTCCGGTTTTCAACTACAGAACTTTAGTTGCTGTCTCTCTCACATCTCAATCACAAGAAGGTCAACTTCTCATTCAGATTGGTCAAGGTAACTTTAGGATTTAGTTCTCTTATAGTATTGTCTACATACTGATCAGATCTGACAGTTTTAAATAATTTAGATTTATTATTCTTAATAACGAATCATCATTTCTTTTAAGCTTTACCAATATTAAGAGATTATTGTTGGAAAAAAAAATATTAAGAGAGTTTTTTCATTTCATGCATGTTTTTTAAAAATAAAATAATATAATATGAATTTTATATTATTTAATTCAAATCATGTCTCATTTCCTTCTTGGTAAAAAAGCCACGTCCCAATTTTGTCAAACGATAGAGAATCTTATCTGCCCCCTTCCAATTTGTTATCTTTGCCTTTTCTTTTTAAACTGAGTAAAGTTATCGCTCTCTCCTCCTCTTCTTCCCTCTTTATGTGCGTGCGCGTCTCTCTCTCTATATTATATATATATATATATATATATATATTTATAGGCTTTGGTTGGTTTAGTAGGTGTAAAACTATTGAGATAGTAGAGGCAAATTCTCCAAAATTATGATGCCCACTTGGAAATTTATCCTTCCTCAACACCCCTCAATTTCACGTTCAGATTCACCACTGTGTGTTAAAATAAAATATCATACAGCTGTACCTTATTTGGCTCTATTAGCTTTTTTGGTGGCTTCTTTGTCGCTATAGCACAAAACATGCATAAAATGAAGCACGCTGCTCATATTAGGATTTGCATTGAGTGCTCGTAAGTTTTGATGAGCACCCAATACTTATTAGATCTGAACGGTTCAGATTTAATTTTAATTTTTTAAAGTAATTATTTTAATAGGTATAGAATAAAAATAAAAATAATCTCTTAATTATTATTTTTTTAAAATATAATTTTTTATTTTTAAATAATTATTTAAAAATATTAAATTTAAACCGTCTAAATTAGACCTGAACGGCCAGATTATTTATCAGGTGATGAGCGCGGGATGAGCACAGAATGTGAACGCCGTCACTTGTGAGAACTGCACGGGCGAGCCGTACTCTTTTTCTTCAACCGCGTGGGCCCTTCATGTACGGTCATTCTTGCAGGTTTCAGATTTGCTACTTTCAACTTTACAGCTCATCTCATTTTTGGTTATAGTGTCTGCAATCTGGGGAGGCGGGAGGCGTGTTCGGCTCGGAAACAGATGGGAGCGTGTAAAATAGTAAAGTTGTGTGGACAGGTTGTGAACGGAATGGTAAAGTTGACGACGACTCTGAAAAGTCCTTGGGTGAATTCATAAAGACGATGGTTAAAGCTATCGTCTTTCTTTATCTTCTTCTTCTTGGTCTTCGCATTCCTCAGCCTACAACTCTCTCTTCTTCAAGTCGCACACCATTTCAATCCTCACTCTGTGTGTTTGTTCACTTCCTTCTTGTCGGTACTCCCATCAAGCTTACTTCACTGTTTCTTCTTCTTCTTCGTGTTCTTGGTGTTTCTGATTCCTCTCAAACTCTTCATCACCACTCCGTGTTCTTCCACTTTCTTTGGCAGTTTCCTTCAACTTGCTGACCAGATCAATTCAAATCAAGCTTCTCATTTCCTAAAATGTTTCCAGTTTTTATGTTTACTATGTTTGTTTCCTTGTTCTTAATTTTCTGATCGACTTTGTTCTGGTTATTTCCAGACATAAGTTAACTTTCAAAAAATGTTACTCTTCTCTTGCATTAAGTTTGTTGCGTTTTGGTAAAAAAAAAAAAAAAAAACAGTTTGTTGCGTTCTTGTCAAACAAAATGGCGGTGTTTTCGTTTTAAATCTCTTTAGCTGTCACTCTTCTTTTGCGTTGATCAAGTAGGTTACTTTCTTGTCAATCTTGCCAAGTTAAAAAGGAAAAAAAAAAAAAAACTCTTTTTTAACTAGATTTTGAATCCCTAGATGTGAACTAAATTTTAAGAAAAGAAAAAAAAAATGGTTTGAGGACTTCTTTTCTCTCTACTATTCTTCTGCATACACTGCTGCTTTTGTTGTGGGCGGAAAAAAGTCTAAGAAGAAGAAGTGTATAGTTTACAACAAATTTTGGTGGCATCTTCATCTGTGCTTTACTAGGGACGCAAGAAAGTGGTGCTGATCATAAAGTAATACAGGTACAATCTTTTTCTTTGATGGTTACATTTAGATATTTTGGACCTGAATTGTTATGAACAATAATATTTTTCTTTTTTTACTTCTTTTCTCTTTTTGGGTTATGCAGAACTCCACTTATTTTCTATTTTCCTTCTACAAGCTAGTTTTTAAACCTCCTAACCCCACAAAAAAAGGGGTTTGTGTTTAATTTTTCGTGTACATATCTCTCTTGTTCATTTTCTTCTGCATCAACTGGTGGCTTTCAATCATAAAAATATTTAAAAATTAGGGGAAAAAGTTTTTTAAAAAAATTCTTTTGCCGTCAATCTTGCCAAAAAAAAAAGTCTATTTTTTTTTCTTGAAAGGTGTTTGTACCGCCTGCACAAGTCTTTAGATCTGAACTAATTTTTTTTCAAAAAAAGATGGTTTAAATATTCCTCCTCTCGCTACTATTCTTCTGCATATACCGTTACTTTTGTTGAGAACAATCATATATGAAAATCTAAGTGTGCACTTTAGAAGTTTTGGATATATAACCAGGTTTTTTTTTTTTTTTAACAAGCGATTTTCGTTATTCTCACTAATTTTATTTTCAATTTGTTCACGATAAGTAGGCACGAGGTTGATTTTTTATGGCAAAAAAAAGTTGATTTTTTTGGGGCAAAAATTCATTAATGCGCTAATTGATCTGATTTTTTTTTAAGGATTATCTCATAATTTTTATCTGTTACATTGAAGGGAAGTTTTTTATGCTGACAATTTGTACTAACTTATTCTGCTTCTTCTCTTCAACTGTTTAAAATTCTTCTCCAACAATGAAAGATATTTTAATTTAAAAGTTCATTCAAACAAAAAAAAAAAAAAATCTTAATCTTAATTATGTATAATATAAAAAACATAGTATTAGAAAAGATAATTTTAGAATGCATTTTCGGTTTGGTGAGACAATACACGTATATTATTAGTAATTATAATTTTAAAATTTTAAAAAGTTATGATATCTTACACATTGTATGAATGTAAATGGACATTAGTATTGGTGCCAACTTTTCTCTTATCAGCTGCTCTTCATATTATCAGTTGATCTTATATTTGAGTTGTTATGCAGCTAAATCGGGAAACAAGAATGGATATTGTCACGACCATTGCTGGAAAATTTTTAGAACCGATAGTAGAATACACCGTGGCACCCATTGGAAGGCAATTGGGTTATTTGATTTTCTACAAAGGCAATTTCAAGAATCTGAAGGATCAAGTTGACGAGCTGAAGAGAGAGAAGGAAACTATAAGTAATGAAGTGGAGGCAGAAAGAAGAAATGGACGCCAAATTTATGATGCTGCACAAAACTGGCTGAACAGAGTGGATGAAATCATAGAAGTGGCAGAGAAACTTGGTGATGATCCTCGTCATAGGAAAGCTGGTTGCTGCATGGGACCTTTCCCTGATTTGAAGTCACGGCACCAACTCAGTAGAAAAGCAAAGAAAATGGCTATAACTGTTGCTGAAGTAAAGCAACAGAAAGGTGGCATTTATCCACTTGCATTCTTGCCTGCTCTAGAGGGAGTAGGCTTCACTTCTGCTACAAGCAGTGAAAAGCTTGGGTCAAGAAAGAAAATGAAGGAGGAAATTATATTGGCCCTAAGAGACCCAAACTTAAGGCGGATTGGGGTCTATGGGCTTGGCGGAGTTGGGAAAACCACTCTAGTTGAAGAAATTGCTAAACAGGTTAAAGATGACAAGTTGTTTGATCAAGTTGTTATGGCTAACATATCCCCAGCTCCAGATCTTGAAAGAATTCAACGTGAAATAGCAGATTTTTTGGGTCTTCGCTTTGAGGAGATGAGCATACCTGGAAGAGCATTACGCCTCGAGCAGAGAATTGAAAATGAGAAACGTATCCTGGTCATATTAGATGATATTTGGGATGTACTTGAATTTAAAAAGCTTGGAATTCCTTCGAATGATCATAAGGGTTGCAAGTTATTATTGACTTCTAGGGATCTAAAGATATTACAACAATTGGAGACTCAGAAAGATTTTAAGATAGATGTTTTAAATGAAGAAGAAGCTTGGAACTTGTTTAAAGAAATGGTGGGCGATGTTGTTAAAGATGGTCATTTGCATGACAAGGCAATCAACATAGCCCGAAAATGTGGGGGCTTGATTGTTCTTCTTGTGACAGTGGCAAGAGCACTAAAAAATAAACATAATACTGATCATTGGGAAGATGCCTTAAACCAGTTAAAGATTGGTGATAAGGAAGGAATGAAAGAGAAAATTTATTCAAGTTTGGAGTTCAGTTACCATCATCTGGAGGGTGATGATGTGAAGGCACTTTTCCTGCTTTGTGGATCAGTAGGTCCACTAATTTCTGTTAAATACTTGTTGAAATATGCTATAGGTTTAGGCATATTCAAGCAAACTTATTCTCCAAAACTTGCAAGGTCTAAACTTCATAGCTTAATTGGTTCCTTAAAGGCATCTTGTCTATTGCTCGAAGACAAGTCAAATGACAGAGCTAAAATGCATGACATTGTACATGAAGTAGCAGTCTCAATTGCTTCAAGAGATCATCATGTTTTCAAAATTGGAAGGGGTGATGAATTAAAGAAATGGCCATCAGAGGAATTCCTTCAAAGATGCACTCAAATCATCTTGAATTGGTGTGACATTTCTAAGCTTCCTGAAAGGTTAGAATGTCCTAATATTAAACTTTTTTTTTTGTCTAATAAGAATGAATCTTTAAGTGTCCCAGAATCTTTCTTTGAGGGAATGAAAAGCCTTAAAGTGTTAGATTTGACTTGCATGCACTTACCTTCATTGCCCCAATCTTTTCATTATCTTAGTGACCTTCGAACACTTTGTTTGGATCATTGTGCTTTAGGAGATATGACCAACATTGGAGCTTTAACGAATTTGGAAATTCTTAGCCTCAATGGGTCATCTATGATAGCGTTGCCTAGTGAACTAATGCAGTTGACTCATCTTAAAATGTTGGATTTGACTGATTCTGGAATTGAAATCTTTCCTTCTAACATTATATCAAGATTGACCAAATTGGAGGAGTTGTATTTGGGCAATACCTCCATCAAGTGGGACCAAGAAGACTCAACTGAGGAAAACAAAAATGCTTCCCTTTCTGAACTTAGGCATTTGAAACACTTAACAGCTCTAGAAATTCAGAGCAAAGGGGCTTGGGTTCTACCAAGGGAGCTAATGTTTGGCGAACCCGATAGATACAAAATAATGATAGGAGATATCTGGGAATGGTCTAATAATTATGGGGCATCCAAAATATTGAAGGTCAAGCTTGATACTGTCATTCATTTGGAGCATGGGATAGAAGAACTTATTAAAGGAGTAGAGGATTTGTCCTTGGATGAAGTGAATGGAATCTCCGATGTGCTTTACAATTTGAATGGAGAAGGATTTCCTTTGTTAAAGCACCTTCACATCCAAAATAATGGGGAAATTCAACACATCATCAACTCAATGAACAGAAAACTGATTAGTCATGTTTTCTTTCCAAAATTGGAAACATTAGTACTCCAAAATCTCAATAAATTGGAGAAGATATGTCATGGCTCTTTTACGAATAACTCATTTGCACAACTTAGATCCATCAAAGTCAAATGTTGTGAGCAGTTGAAGTATATTTTCTCAGTGTTGATGGTCAAAGCTCTTTGCCAACTTGTTGAGATTGAAGTTTCAGAATGCAGTTCTATGAGAAAGATTGTATTTGGAGAAAACTCTTTCCCAAACTCTGATGACAATATTGAGTTCTGTTCTTTGAGATCCTTGATCCTACGATATTTGCCAGGGATCGAGGATTTCTATTCTGGTTTGCTGACGTCTTCAACAACTAAGCAGAGTTTGTCACTCCAAACTAACGTTCCATCATCTTTTTTCAGTGGGAAGGTAATTGTTTTATTCTTATATTGTATTTTTTCCACTGTGAGTAGATACATTTTTAAAATAATAAGATAAGATTATAAATAATAATGAAAATGTAATTAGGAAAATGATTTTTAAGTTTGACCATATATGTGCATGATGTTGTTCGATTACGGGATCGATTAGTTCTAAGTAAAACATTATCCACTGTATGATCGAAATTTTCAACATTTTCACTTTTCTTGCCAACAACATTTTCACTGTTCTCATTATTATTTCGGTGTTTTTTCATACTTGTACCATGGTCAAATTACCAAGAAATGATATGAAATTGAAAACTGTTGGCAATTAAAAAGAAATGAAATTCAAAACCACTTTGATCATGGTTGTAAGTGTTAAATGAAAATGAATATATGGCGCATTATAATATGAAACGATTGATAACTTTTGCAGCTGCTAAGTTATAATTTAATCATTTAATTTTCATAGAATGACTCATGAGATATAATATATAAATTTTCAAGCAACAAACATTTTTAAGCACTAGCTTATTATACGAGCATGACATCAGATTTTGGGCCAAATAAGATTAATAACATCATCGTTATTTAGTTAATTTGATTAATTCTCGATATTCTCGTCATGATCATACAATTCATTCATTTATTCATTTGCCACAATAAGAATAAAATATTTTTTCTACAGGTGAAGTTTTCTAATTTGGAGACTCTAAAGTTGAGTTCAATCCATGTAGAAAATATTTGGCAGGATGATAGCCTTTCTGTAGCCAATTGTTTTCACATGTTGGCTAAGCTGAGTGTGGAAGAGTGTAGTGCCTTGAAGTATTTAATCTCTTCTTCTATGGTTGGATGTTTTCCAAATCTTAAGGACCTTCAAATAAGAGAGTGTGAGATGATGGAGGAGATAATTGGTACAGAGGGGAGAAATAGTGCTGCAATTGAAGAGGTTATAACTTATACGATTTCAGCATTTTATATCATATTTAATTAAGTGCCAAGTCATTAAACGTCAAATATCTGCTCTTGTGTAGCTGCCATCGTTTATTATATGGACTTACAAGTTGCGCATGATCACAGGTTGGGTTTCCAAAGTTGGAGACTGTCATAATAAGCAACATGAAAAGGTTAAGGAAAGTATGGTACTCCCAATTTGAAGGGTTGAAGACTATGGAGGTGAATAATTGTGAGAAACTTGAGCATATTTTCCCATCTGATATGCACACAACATTTGGCAGAATGGAGACATTGAAGATCACTGATTGTGGTTCAGTGAAAGAGATATTCAAATTACCGAACAATGAAATCACTGGTGAAGAGGCCACACAATTGAAGAACCTGCATCTGCTTCGCTTGCCCGAGTTGAAACAAATATGGAATAAGGACCCCCAAGGAAATTTCCGCTTTCACAATCTCCAAGATGTCCATGTTGAAGGATGTGAAAACTTAGACTATCTCTTCCCATTTTCAATAGCCCTGGATCTTCATCAACTCGAAAAACTCACAATGCATTCTTGTGGAATGAGTGAAATTGTAGCAAAGAAAGAGGAAACAGCCATATTTCACTTTGATCAATTACACATCTTGCAGATTTGGAACATGCCTCGACTTGATAGATTTTATAGTGGAAGTCACAGTTTAACGTGCCCATCATTGAAAATGTTATGGGTCTTCAAATGTCCAAAATTGAGGTTATTAGGGAGACAGAGAACAAGAAACCATAGCAAGAGTGGTGATGACCGAAATCCGCATCCCTCTATGCAAGATCCTCTCTTCTTGGTTGAAGAGGTATGGTCATCAGATGTTTATTCATCTCAGAAATATGTATCTAACTTGTTATAAAGTAGTAGCTTTTCCTTTCAACTAGCTCGTATGTCAACTTTCTAATATATTTCTTATGGAAAATATATCTCGTATGGTTTGAAGGTAAGCAAAAACTATATTAATATGTTTCAGAAGATAATTAAATGAAAAAAGGAAAAATGCACGGACTTTTTACGTGAAGCTTTTTGCTTTTCAGTGACATACCCAAATGTGCCTCTTTGGTCATGGGTAAATATTTCTTATTGTATTCTTTTGGTGAGTAAACGTCTCGTATTGTTATTATATGTAGGAGAAAATAATGAAGCTGTATGTTATGTTTCAGGTGATTCCGAAGCTGGAAAATTGGACATTAAATAACACAGAAGCCATAATGATGTTGGAAGACCCACAATGGAAGGACCGTTATTTGAGTAAAATGAAGACTCTTCGAATGTCTTATTTTGACAACAAAACAGCAGCAACTTTTCTGGACTCAATTGCGCAAAAGGCACCAAACTTGAAAACTCTAGTTGTCCAACATGGTTCCTTGAAAGAGATATTCCAACACAAAAGAGTTGCATATGAGGAAGGCAAGAATGAAATCAAGACCCAGCTTGAAGTTTTAACGCTGCATAATCTACAACTGGAACACATATGTAGAGAAAGATGCAAGATCGACCCAATTCTTGAGGTTCTTGGAGTTTTGAATGTGACAGAATGTGCCAATTTGAAAACTTTGGTTCCTTCCTCCGTCACTTTTTCCCACCTGACATATTTGAAGATTCAAAAGTGTAATGGATTGATAAGCTTAATTTACTCATCAACTGCAGCAAGTTTGGTCAATCTTCAAGAAATAAAATTAAAAGAATGCAATTCACTTGAAGAAATAATGACGCAGGAGATGAATGAGACAAGAGATGAAATCGTATTTAGAAATTTGAGAACTATAGCATTGGAAAGCTTGCCAAGGCTCAATAGTTTCTCATCTAGCAGTCAATGCTTCTTCAGGTTCCCATTGTTGAAGAAAGTTGTTGTGAGGCAATGTCCAAGGATGAAAACCTTCTGTGAAAGAGCAACAAGCACGCCAATGCTCAGAAAGGTAATAACCAAAGAGGGGAAAGACGAAGAATGGTGCTGGGAAAGCGACTTGAACAGAACAATAAAAATGGTCCATGGGAATAAGGTATGTTTTTTCCCCTTTAAAAATTGGTGTCTAACAGAGTATTGATAATAACAAGTATAGGTCTGTTGTTTAACAGCTCTTCGTTGCCATTCTGTTGTAACTAACATCGGAAATTTCTTTGCGTGCAGATTGCATTCCGTGATATGGAGCATCTTGATTTATCCTTGTATCCTGAGCTAAAAGACTCTTGGAGCAGTCCCATTGAGAATAAAATATTCTGTAATTTGAAATCTTTGGCAGTCGAACATTGTGACTTTTTATCAGATGTTCTTATTCCTTCAAATATGCTGCGAGCCTTGGGGAACTTGGAAGAAATTCGCGTAAAAGACTGTGATTCACTAGAAGTTGTGGTTGAATTTGATGTAGCAAAAGAAGGGGCAATATCAGAGAAAGGGGCGAGTCATCTGCGAAAAATCGCCCTATCTAATCTGCCTAAACTCCAATACATATGGAAACCAAGTCTCGGAGGGAAAAGGGAAGAGGAAGAAGTTCAAGTCCAATGTCAACAGCCTCTGTCTTTTCTTGCTAAGGTATGCTTTAGTTTCTTTCATAAAGTAAGATAAAGATGCTATTGTCTTACTCTTCTTTTGTTTCTTATGTTATCAAAAGGTGCAAGATATTCTGTTTGTTCTTGAAAACATATCTCAACTATAAATTCTTGAAAGTTTAGCTTTTTTGTTTAGTTTCGATGATTATAGCCAAAGCGTGTAATTATAGCTAATGTAAAAACAAGACTGGATTGTTATTCACCAACAGTAAAGCAATCTCTGTATGAGAAAAAATGTGGCCAAGTAGCAAACTACATAATGCATCTAAACAAGTTTTTAAACTAAAAAAAAAAAAAGAAGATAAGGCTAAATTCCAGCATCAGCAACAAGCATCTTCGATTGCACAGGTGTGCGACTTGCTTCTAAGTTCTCTCTCTCACACACTCGTATAGAGTTGTGGAAATGTACTTGAAATAATTTTGTACACATAAACGTAGAAAGAATCCAAGGAACAATTTTATTTATTTGGTCACATTTCTCTCTGCCAATTAAATTATGTTTAAGAAGTCAATAAGCTCCGGAGAATAATCTTGTAGAGTTCTTTGCATTCATAGCCTAGTTTAGAAGCCATGATGCCCATTGCGTAGCCTTGCTCTTCTTACACTTGTGCTTCACAGCATGATTTATGAACTCTACGCATAGCCTTGTGTTTTTTGTTTTATGCAGCATTGAAGTGCTGAGAAATAAATATTTATAAAATGATTTTAATACATATGAGATATTTGGTGGGCAAAAGTAAAAACACTATTCAAACGTTCTATGAGACATATAAATTATATATTTCTTTTAATTAAATACCTTATATAATAAATTTTAAGATTTTGAAATTTTAAACAACCACTAAACGAAGGTTCATAAATCATATTGTCATGTTTGCTATCGGTGAGAAGACATAAGGCAAAATGAAGATAAGCTGGTTCTGTATTTTGGTTTTTCTAATGTAAGAGTTTTTGAATAGCTTAAATATTATTAGTGTTTAGAATATTTAAAAAAAGTTCAAAAAATATTTAAAAAATTAGAGCAGTAAATCCAACAAAACGAAGTGAAATTAAAATTAACTAATTGAGACAAAAAAAATGTAATTGCGTGTGTTATTACTATCAATCAATCAAATAATTTCTATCATAAAAACATGACAACTGTACATGCGGGTTTCCCAGATAAAAACTATGAGTTTCTTTATTTATGCTACCTGTCAAGTTCATATCATTGGTTTCCCATGTACCTGTCATGGTTTTGTTGAACATTTTGATAAGGATATAAGTAATTACATACAATGAAGTGTCATGAACAATCAAACTTTATTTCTTTTTACTGTGGCAAATCATCCAGTATTGTGCCATATGCCACAGGAATATTGAGTCCCATATAATCCTTTTTCTCGCTAAATGGGCTTGTCGACTGCACAAAACCCCTTAACACGGAGGCATGAACGCCGGAAGTAATCACTGACCAAATCTGTATGCCGTCAATTTTTGAAAACTTGTCCAAGTACGTGGCGTGGCCTTGACCTGTTCCAAACAGAGCTTACTTGTTATTTTCCCAGAAGCAGAGTTTACTCAAATTATGCATTTGTTTTTATCAACTTATCCCAAGTATAGTTTATAACTAACAGTACAACTATTGAGGTGATCGCAGGTACTTCTACCCAAACTGGAAACAATAATAATAGAAGACTTGCAAAACTTGGAAACAATATGGCACCCTGTCCTAACTCCGAATTCCATGGGTAGCTTTGAGACATTGAAAGTGAAAAAGTGTCAGAAAATGCAGCATATATTTCCAACATACATGAACGGAGTATTTGCAACTCTACAGACGTTGATGGTCGAAGCCTGCAAATCAGTGCAGGAAATTTTCCAGTTGGGGGCCAACGAAATGTACAGTGGAGATGATACAACACGGCTCAAGAATATAACCTTGCTTCGATTGCCAAAGCTGAAACAAATTTGGAGCACAGATCGTCAGTCAAGTCTTCACTTTGAGAGTCTGCAAGTTGTACGTGTTGAAAACTGTGGAGATTTAGAGTTCCTTTTTCCATTCTCCATAGCTAAGCACCTGCATCAACTTGAAGCAGTTACAATAAAGAGTGCTCAAAAGATGAAGGAAATTGTTTCCAAGAGAGAAGAACCCTTAGATAATCTTGTCAAATTTGAGTTTAATCAGCTAACCTCAATGGTACTTTGGAATTTACATGATTTGCAGGAATTTTGTGCTGGAAATCATAGTTTATCTTGTTCATCATTAAAAGAATTAGATGTCTTTAATTGTAAAAAATTGAAGCTGTTCAAGACACAAGGTACAAGTAGCCAAGGAAGTCTTTCTCATGGTAATCTCTGTGTCTCAACGCAACAACCTCTTTTCACACTCGAAGAGGTATGGCTCATTCTCAACAAGTAAAATCTTCATGTTCATCCAAAGTTAACAGTCATGTTTAATTATGTATATAATCTGTCACTAGCATGTTACAAAATTCTTTAGTATAAACACTGTCAAATTTGCCTGTGTTATTAGATTTCTCGAGGCTATGAATAAGCTTGGCTAGTGAAAAACTTACAACCATTGTGCATATATAGAGTATATCACTAAACATTCATCAAACTAATTTACTGGTTCGACATTGCTCTGGACAAGAAATGAATGCTAGCTTTTTAATCTATGATATTCTAACTTCCAGTACATAATGAAGCTCTATTTTATGCTCCAATCATATGGTATAGGTGATGAGCAACCTGGAGCAGTTGGCCCTATCCAGTGAGCATTTGACCATTATATTACAGGGCCACTTTTCTGGGGAAAACTTCAGGAAACTCAAATTTCTTGCATTGCTAGAGATTGGAGATGATCAAATGACTTTCCCATACTGGTTTCTTCAAAACATGAGCAGCCTTGAGCGTCTCATTGTGGGAGGGAGTTCTTTCAAGGAGATATTTTCAGAAGAAGCACTTATCAATCCAGGAGGAAAAAGTGAGAACACAACACGAATAAAAAATTTGAGACTGACACACTTGAATGAACTCCAGAATATATGTAAACAAGGATGCCAAATAGACCCTCTAGTTGAAGTTCTTGAGCACTTGGTTGTAGATCATTGTTCCAAATTAAACCACTTGGTGCCTTCTTCCATAACCTTTTATCACTTGACATATTTAGAGGTACAAAATTGCAATGGATTGATTTATTTAATTACCTCTTCGACAGCAAGAAGTCTAGTCAAGTTAGCAACATTGAAGATAAGGGAGTGTATATCAGTTGAGGAAATTGTGGCAGAAAAAGGAGGGGATAACATAAATGAGATCGCCTTCAACAGCCTAGAAGTTTTGGAGCTCGAAAGTTTGTCAAAACTCCGGATATTTTGCTCTAGTAACTGCTTCTTGAAGCTTCCATTGTTGGAGAAACTTGTAATAAGGCAGTGTCCAAGAATGACTAGCTTTTCCGCAAGAGAGACAAGTGCACCAATGCTTCAAAAGATACTGACAGATAAACAAGATGGAATGTGGTGTTGGGAAGGTGATCTTACTAAAACAGTCAACAAGATGTTCCAAGATATGGTATGTTCTGTTTCTTTCCAGCAGAAATTAATCACAACATGAAGAGCGTCAAAATATCATTTCTATGTAATGTCCTTCCATCGCAGTTTCTTTTCACATATTATGTTTTGATTGAACCATTCTCTCTATATGGACTCCATTCAATTTTTTTCTCATGATAAAAAACCTCATTGCAAAACATTTAGAAAAGCCGATTGTTATATTGTTTAGTTTGCATTGCTTCCCTTTTATTTTTCACTTAACATATACAAACAACTTTTGCAGGTTGCATTTTATAGTTTCGAGCACCCGAAACTATCTCAATATTTGAAGTAAATTATTCTATTATAGTTTTTTTAATTTTACATTTTCCCTCAATCTAGTTATTTCACACCTAAATAAATCATTATTACTGTTATAGCTCAAACTTCTGCCAGTTGATATTTGTTTTAAAATTTAAAATTTTTATATTACCTAAACAAATCATTTTAAATATGAGATTTTAATGTAAAATCCAAATCCATCTATCTAAATGCATTCTAAAAGTTATTTAATTGTGTTAAAACATAAAAACAGCAAAGAAAATAATTTCGTTCAATTAATTTTTGTCAATAGTCAATAAGTTCATTGTTCATGGGACATGCATCAATCTTTCCAAGACATTGTTTAACCTGTTTTAATTCCCTTTTATTATTGCTTTGATAATAATTTTCACAGGTGGCATTCAGGAGTTTCAATCATTTGGAACTCTCTCAATATCCAGAACTGAAAGAACTATGGTATGGCCAAGTTGAGCCGAAAATATTCTGCAATTTGAAGCATCTGGTGGTCCGTAAATGTTCATTCTTATCCAACATGATTTTCTCATCAAATTTATTGCAATTGTTGAACACTTTGGAGGAATTGGAAGTATCAGAGTGTGATTCATTAGAAGCAATATTTGATGTAAAAGCATTAGAAGACAAAGCAATGGAATCAAGGGAAGTGAGCCAGTTGAAAAAATTAATACTCTCAAGTCTTCCAAATTTGAAACACGTGTGGAACAGAGAAGCAGAAGAAATAATTAGCTTTGAAAATTTACAGATTGTGAAAGTTGATAAATGCAACAACTTAAAATATGTGTTTTCACCATCACTGTGCCAAAATTTGAGGCAACTTGAAGAGCTTCTCATTGACTCCTGTGGTGTTGAGGAAATCGTTTCAACTGAAGAAGGATTGGAAGAACTCAAGTTTGATTTTTCTCGATTAACAATCTTACAGCTACATGATTTGACACAGCTCACTAATTTTTATCCAAAAAAATACACTCTAGAGTGTCCATCATTGAAGTGGTTAAATATTCGTGGATGTGAAAAATTGCAAATATTTGCATTTGACCATTCCAATTCCCAGCAGCTTAGAGAGGGTGGCATTGATTTGCACATTAAACAAGCTTTGTTTTATATTGAAAAGGTATGCATTCTTTTTATGTTTATTTTATTTATCTATCTTTAATTTCATTCTTTCTACACAAAAAGATGCATGGTTAAGGAAAACTATAATTACACATGTATCTTGTAAAACTATATATATAAAAAAATGTTTATGTTAACTAGTTGATTATATGGTGAAACAAATTATATATTGTCTTTTCAGGTGTCCCAAAATTTGGAGGAGTTGCCATTAAATGAAAAGGACATTATGAGGATATTAAATGGCAACTATGAGAAAAATCTATTTCAAGGCATAAAAAGGCTTCATCTGCAATACTTTCAAGAAACTCCAATAAAGCTTATAAATGATTTGATCCAAAAATTCCCTACTATAACCACACTTCAAGCACGTTGTAGTTCTTTTGAAACACTCTTTCCTTCAAAAGAAATTGGTTGTTTCAGTATTGATAGTCCCATTCAAATTAAAACATTGTGGCTATTTCAATTGGATCAGCTTGAGCATATATGGAATGATGATGACTCAGCATCTCATCCCCTAGTTCAAAACCTTGAAGATCTACGTGTAGAGGAATGTTCAAAGATAACAAGATTTACAACACCTTCTGCATTTTTCAAAAAATTAACTTCCTTGAAAGTGAAGGATTGCAATGGGCTTATGTACTTCATGACAACTTGCACTGCTAAAAGTCTCGTCCACCTCACAAGCTTAGAGGTTAGCAATTGTGGGATGTTAGAGGAAGTTGTGATGACGGATGATGAAGGAGGATCAGAAGAAGAGGTCAAATTTGAAAGCTTGAAGTATTTGGAACTAACTTGTTTAACAGGCCTCAACAGCTTTTGCTCTGGAAATCACGCCTTCATATTCCCATCTTTGGTGACACTTAAAGTGATAGGATGCCACAAAATGCAAAATTTTTCATCTGGATTCATAGTTGCCCCATTTGTGAAATCCGTGGAAGTGGAAGATGGAAAGGAACGTTGGAAAGGGGACCTTAACTCCACCATTAAACAGTTATTCATAGACAAGGTATGTGTGTCAAAAAAGTGAATTCCAAAAATTTTTATGCACTTCTTAGCTGCTGCTGCTGCTGCTTCTTCTTCTTGTCCCCGCCCCCCCCCCCCAAAATTTCTATCTGCCCCCAAGAGCGCTAAACTCTACTTGTCTGCCTTTGACCTCAATTGGAAAAACTATATAACAATACTAAGTGTCATAATATGATGTTTCCTTGCCTGACTCAATTAGGCAATTGGAGAAGGAATTGAAGATGACCCCAAAGAATCTTCAAGCAGTCAGATACAGGAAAAGAGTGTAGGCAAAAGCAGAGCATTAAGCATTGAGGAGCATGGAGCAGAGTCAAGGGCTGATGATGAGATTGTTGATTTAGGGAAGCAAGAAATCCACAGACTTCCTATTCCACATACAGATACAGGTATACTAATTATGATTGTTTTCTATTTTTCGTTTATTCATAAATAATCGTTCTACCACTCAAATATTGGCCTTAATTTTCTTTCTTTATAGATTCTAGTGGCTTTCTATATTACTTTTCCCAAGTTAACCTTATTTTATTATTACTACAACCTCATATCACATTTTATATTTATTTATTTAGGTATTGACACTCAAAAGATCTGTGAAATCGCTGAGACGCTCTTGGATCAAGCTTGTCAAAACACACTAAGTCTTACAAAAGTTGATGCAGGTGCTGATCCAGTTATGCAATACTATTTTTTATTTACTTGGAAAGAAGTGATTTATTAGCATTTTACAAATATATATTGTCCTTTAAAAAAAAAAACTTGTTTGTTTAGTTGTTGAGATTCGGGAGATGCATGAAACTTGTGGAGGAGATGTTGCTCAGGATGCTGATAACACATTGAGCATTACCATGGTTCAAGATGCAGGTACTGTTCATGTTTTCTTAGTTTGAGTATTCTATAAATATTTTAAAACTATATTCTACATTAGGAGCTCAAGAACAGCAAAATTTTCAGCCCCTACTTGAAAACCTTCTGGCTTTATAATCAACAGTGTAATCATCCTCCAAACAGTCTTAACATAACTTTTAACCATCAAATTTTGTTGCTGATCCCGCAGAGGCAACAATAGTAACCTCTAGTTAAATTTCCAACTTCCAAGACTCAATTCTTCACTCTCCATCCACGCATAACTATATATGAATATTATCTTAGGCATCCTAGCCCTTGCCTTTCCATATAAACCATGGGACCATATCTAACAGTCCGGAAATTTTCCAGCTTTGGAATATTATCTTAGCCTCTAAAATAACATTTTTAATCATAATTTTAAGCATCCTTAATCATACTTTTAGTGCTTTGAGTTACTTGTTTAACATTTAGGAAACCTCAAAACAGCAAATTATAATTAGTTTCAAGATTCAACAATTCGGTTCAGCAAGCATCACCCTCATGCACCCACACAGACATTCACACACTTGTTTCTCATCTTTAATAAGTTGGCTTCTTCCTCAATAGAAGTAGATTTCAATAGGCCCCATCATTCTTAAAACCAGTGTTGTGTGTGGGTACCGTCTCTCCTCTTCCCCCTCCTTCCCCGATGTCGTCTGCTTCTTCTCTCTCCCTCTGCTCTGTTCCACAAATATGAGTGAAGTGAGGACTGTGCGTGTGGCTGACAACTTAAATCTTAAGTTTTTGGACCAATGTTGCTTTTTAATTTGTTAAAACACAACATTCTTTTTTTTTTTTTTTCAAATAAAATGTGTTTAGTTTAATTGGTCTTTATTATTATATTCTTTTGATCATCTAATAATCTAATTTTCTTTTACGTTAACCAAACTCTGCTAAAAAAATTACATTCAGATGGTGTTAGGAATCAAGAGATGTACAAGATCTTAGACAACGCCTTAGTTCCAGTTGCTCAAAATGTAGTAAGCTCTTCCGTGGTTTACAATGCAGGTACTAATTTTGTTCTACAGTCTTTGAGTATATGCTTTGTGGGGGGGGGGGGGAGAGCAAGTAATTTTAAAAAAAAATCTTTTTTAGAATGACAAATTTTTTCTCCTAAAATGTGAATCATACTTCTTTTCTTTTTTTTTTTTTTTTCTGAATTCCATTTGATTTGTTTATGTAGCTATTGATCCATCAACTTCACAAGCTTCGGAAGCCCTGATCCAAGATGAAGGTACCGAACTTGTTTTTGGTTTACAGTTTCCATAAATGATCTAAAATTTTTTCGATATGACATTTGGGTTCAATACTCTCTGGCTATATTGTTGAAAGTAAGTTTTTTGATCAACAGAAAAAGAAGAACTTCTAAAATTGTTGACAATAAAAAAAAAAAAAAAGTAACGCATTTTTTCGTTTTTATTAGATAGAACTAATTTGCTGTTATTTTTGAAAAATTGTGTCATTTCATTTACTGAGTTTTAGTTTTTTTAAGAAAATAATCGTGTAGCTCTTCAAAATCAAGAGATGTATAATATCAGTATTGAAAAGCCATTAGTTCGATCAACCAAAATTGCTCTAAGCAGTTCCACAGTTTGTAATGCAGGTAATGACGTGTATTGTTTTGCAGACTATATGATATGCAAGAAATGATCTGAAATTGCTCTGTAATATGTAATGACTCCATCATAGTACTTCCTGATTTATTATCTCCTGTTGTGAATTGGAATGCACTAGATGGATCACAGGATTTACAACTTCATGCAAGTGAAAATTTACGGGTCCAGACCACAAGATCTATTCCGAATGATGGCGAAGAAAGTAATATTGCTTTTTGGTTAATTTTATTTATCTTTTTTTGCAAATTTGTGTCATTCTATTTTGTTGTTTTTTCTGTAAAGAATGAACATGGTTGTTTAGATACAGAGATTAAAGAGATGTATAAAACCATTCAAAGACCGTTGGTTCAAAATGCTGAAGACATGTTCATCCCTGCCTCAATTCAAGACATAGGTATATTGATAAGTGCATTTTATACATTTTGAAAGTAAAAAATGTGTATTTTGCCAAAATCTTCTCATTCTTCCCCCCCCCCCCTTTTTGGTTTGTTTAACTTATTTTTATAGCCACTGGGACTTGTGTGACGCATGAAAGCATTAATAAACCCTTTGTTCAAACGACACAGAATGCATGGGACGTTACCATAGTACAAAATAAAGGTTTAATTCAATAAATATGGTTTTGTTGTCTCTAAATTTGTCATGTCTATTCTCTAACTTCTTTGTTATATTAAAAGATAGAAATCTTTGGATTAATGAATGATTCTAACTTTTTATTGTATTAATTGAAATCAAGGAGAAGAATTACATGACTCAGATATTCATCTCAGTAAAAATTTGTTCAACCAGACTATAACTTCTATGGTTGTAGACTACAAAGAAGGTAATGCATTTTTTACTTGTTGAAGGGGGAAGTTATTTCAATTTTTGCCAAAATCTTGTGTCATTCTATTTTTTAATTTTTCTTAGAAATTATTTGTCCAGCTACTGGGACTCAAGAGACGTATGAATGCAAGAGGAGGTTCTCAGTACATGATGCTCAAACTGTATTGAGTCCTACCGTGGTTTATGATACAGGTATTGATACCATATTATTTTGTAGTCTCCAAGTTGCCATGAAGGATCAAATACTTGTAGAAGTTTTTCCCTTAATTTTGTGTTTAAACTTTTTGAAAGTATTTTATAATTTGTTCCAATATCTTATGTCATTCTCTTTCTAGATATCTTGTATCTAAACTTATTGTTTGCCTATTTTGACTCCAGAGACAAATGAGGCTATTGAAAAATCCTTAATTCAAACAACTCAAGAAGCAGAGAACCCTGCTACAATACAAGACAGAGGTTCTAATCTTGTTCTGATATATCTTTGACTTAATGTTCCAGCTTAATCAACTAATTATTATAGTTTTTATTATGTTAACTAAAATTTGTCAGAAGAACCATATGACTCAAAAGCTTGTCCTCCTGAGAATTTGTTCGACCAACCAACAATTTTTGTAATTGGCAAGAAGAAACAAAGTGATAAATTTTTTACTTTTTGAAAGAAAATACTTTAGTTTTAAATTAAAAAAAAGTCTTGTCTCATACAGTTTTATTTTATTATTTCTGTAGCTACTGGAACACAAGAAATACATAACACCTTCCAAGCTAACCAAGACACACAAAGCCTTGCCAAAGCACGAAATACAGGTTCTTATCTTGTGCTTTATCTTGTTTTTAAAAACTATTTATTAATCACTGTATTAATTAACATTTCTTTCATGGTGTTTTTTAAAATCTACCAGAAGAATCACATGATTCATCTATTGGGAGTCAAGAGATGTGTAGCACCGTCAAAAAGCCATCAATTTCAGCTGCTCAAAATGTCCCAAGCTCCACCAAGATTCCTAATGCAGGTATTAGTTTTGTTTTGCCAGATCATATTAATTTAACATAAATTGATAGAGCGAGTAATTCACTTTTAGGTAGAGAATATTTTATTTATTTTTAACTTAGCTCATCATATTTTCTAATTTTCAGCAACAATGCATCCCTCACCTTCACAAGCTCCAAAACTTGCCACACCACAAAACAGAGGTTTCTATCCTATTTTATATCTTTGTTGCTTTGTTTTCCTGTCGTACTATTTGGATTAACCAACAATTCTACCATAGTGTTAATAAAAATCATATAATTCATATATTGAGACTTAAGAGGTGCGACACCAAGAAGCCTTCAAGTTTAACCACTCAAAATGTACCAAACTCTACCATGATTCCCCATGCAGGTTCAGCATTGTCTTTGTTTGGTGTGATCCCATTAATTTAACATAAATTGATAGAGCAAGTAATGCATTTATTTTAGTAAGAGGATATTTTATTTCATTTCATTTTCCCAAAACTTGACTCATTCTATTAAATTTTCTGATCTCCAGCAGTAATAGATCCATCACCTTCAAAAGCCCCAGGAACTATGACTTCATCAATACCAGAATCGAATACTTATAATGACTACAAGTGGTTTAGTGATATTCCGAAACAAAACTTGCCATATTTGGAGGCTGGGGTGAAGCGTCATCCTCAAGTCCTTGACTGGTTTGATACAAATCGACAAAGAGTATTCGCTACCTTATTCATCGAAGTCACTGGCATTTTGAGGACCACTCGGAGATGCGACTTAACAGAGGATGATCAAAATCACATCAGAAAGTGCTGTGCTGCCTTAGAAGCAGTTGGATTTGATGCTTCTTGGCTCAATTACGTGCATGGCTGCATCGAGAGCTGTGGTGATGGAAACGAACTCATGAGAAAGCTTGAAGAGACTGAAGCCAAAGCTTCCACTCTTAGAAATGAGTTAGCTTCTATTGAGGCATCCTTGCTCTCATTGCGAGATGAGGCGAGTAGGCTCCATGATTTTATTGAGCCATGAAGTTCACTCATAAACCTCATGGCTTAACATTATCACTTTCAACACTATGCATCTAATTTCGTATGCTGCTTTGTGGTTTGTGCAATGCACATTAATAGGAATCTCTTATTTGTACCTGATGCAGTTGTTCTGCATGTTAGGCATTGAAAGAATTGGTATTTCTAAATTGTTGTTCTGTATGTTACTCAAATTAGTTAATTAAGTCTTATATTAAGTATCCGAGGAGTATTAGTTCGAAGTCTGAAATAAGAGAAGATGTTTAGTATTCCGTACTTTACTGTTCATTAGCTGAAAATAAGTAGGGCTCTATTCCAATGTAGCTAAGCAGGATATGCCTCATTAAATGAACTTGGATTTTGTACTGAATATCCATTGTTACAGAACAATAGCATCATGACATAAACATCAACCATTGATTTTGAATTTGATTATCTTTTTGAATGAAGTAATATAATGACTCTAAGTTTATTTCTAAGTTTTCTATGCCAGCACTGAGATCCACTCTTTCAAATCCAGAAACACAAACAGGAACGCTCTGGTAAAATCAACTATGGCCTCCAAACTTTTCATGAAACCAATATTGATGGGAGAGTAAAAGTAGTGTTCAACTGGAAGGTATGGAAATTAGAAATCAGAAACATGTAAGAGATTAAAAACTTGGTTCATTGCGGCATCAATAACGTTGTTTTCTCTTGAGTTGTTGTTTCTGAGTTCCCCTGTTCAATGTAAACACAACACAGGATTTTCTTCTTCTTCCTCTGCTGCCAGTGTTGAGGCCTACAAGCCTAGTTAATCAGGGGTCTTTTTGGAACACAAGAGATGAGTGTTTTATTAAGAAATTGATAAATGTGTTATCTAAATTCTTACTCTTCGTAAATACATATGTTCTTTCAAAGAAAATTTGAAATATAAAGTTGAAGTGTTATTGAAAATGTGATGAAAGACACGGCAAAGAGAAGTGAACAAGTCTATTCATTTAAAATTTAAAGGCTCAATTGTTGTTTCCCAAATCGTCAGTGCCCCCCGTAATCTCTATTTGTTACGTCAAATTTCTCCTCATTCTGTTGGCTTTCATTGTAAATATAGATAACTAATTACAAACATTAAAAGATGCATATTTTTTTACTTTTGTTTTCTACTTAGTGCCCGTATATTCAATTAGATGAATATTACTTATATCTCATATAATCATCAAAGCCCATTAGTATAGTATTTTTGCATGACTTCTCTATTAGCCAAAGGTTCCAGCACACAACTGCTCACCAAACGGAGAAAGAAAAGCAATCAGAAAATTTTATGGTCCAGAATCACAAATTGAAGGCATTTTGTTAATGAAGACCTTTATGTTCAAGATGAATTAGAAGGATCAAAGAATAAAATTTTAGTCTTCAAAGGCAAATATTTGTTTTTATATCTTTGAAAGGGTGAGAATCAGAACAGGATTAAATTTGAAAATATACTTAAGTTTTGTACTTTTTCTCATTTTGCAGATACAGAAAGAGAACAGCGTGAAAAAATATTTTTCTTACCACTGAGGTCTTCTGTTCCCATTTTCAACAATGAAGTAGGCACCACACAGAATAGTTAGCTTGTGAAGATTCTGTTAATACAATTTAAGTATCTCTAAAACTGTGATTTCAGCCTTATGATTCCTTTGGTACAAGGGAAACTGCGGAGAGGAAAAGGGAGAAAAAATCTTAATAAACTTGATTTGGAGAATTAAAAAAGTGAGGTTAAAAACTTTTAATTAATTTTTTATCTTACATTTTCTTTTTATTAAAATTTTCAAACTCCACTTCTCTAATTTTCTAAATGGAGCTCATTAAAATTTTCTCTCCCCTTATCTTTCCTCCATTTCCCTCAAACTAAACACAGGGTTAAGGTTTGCCTTATTTTACTGGTGTACATCCTCACTTTATATGGTAATGTTATGTATAAAATAAGTGAGTGTGTTTCACAAATCTGGTTGGGATCTACTAGTGGTTTGACAAAACTACAAATAAAAGAGAGAAAGGTGTTAGCTTTTATGTCCAAATCTGGCTTCTTGTGCATTCTGGGTCTTCATGTCTATTACATAGTAATCACAGACATTATTTGACTATGTTGTTGTTGTCCAAAAGTTTTCTGAATTAAATTCTTTAATCGAAAATAACTATAACTTTCATTTTAGTGCACAAGTAAAGTCACAAAAAGGATAACAAAAAATACCGTTTCTATGTCTGCAAATAATGTTAAAATGGAAATTTTTTTAATAAATATGAAGAGATAAAACTGCTACCTTCTGTGTTGTTATGCAAGTACTTTGAAGGTGTTTTGTACCTTAACTTCAAGAGATTAAATGCAACAAATACATGTCGTTTTCCTCTGTAATTATAATCTAATAATAATGTGATCCTTTTGGCGTGACATGCACCCGCAAACATTCCAAAGCAACGTTGAACTAAAAAAATTTCTGCATACTTGTTTCTAAATGATAATTTCCTGAATAAATTTGTACCTTATCAAAAAATGAAATGGATAATATATGAACATGTCAATTTAGCATAT